TGAAGTTATACCCGTTGCAGTTCTCTGTTTAAATCCCTTGAAACGATTATAATTATGAATGTCTTTTATCAACAAGTCAAAGCCTGTGATGGTTGGAAATCTTGACAAGGCCTTGGGCGCTTCACTACACCAGCTGGTCCTTATTTGACAGATAAAAGACCTTTCTGAAAGAAATGCCATATAACTGTTAAAAACCCAATTACGTTTTCTTAGTTTTGAAAATAATGTTATATTTTTTTCTCAGTGTTTATGCTTTAACTTTAGAGAGATTGGCTGGAAGTAATTCTGTTTTAGGTGATATAAGTGGTTGTCCTGTGTAACAGATGCATTTCTCTGAAACTAGAACTGTTTGTTCACTGTTTTGTAGTCATGCTTTCTGTCACAAAAATGGATAGGAATTTATGGAAGAGAATATGATACTTTTATGTTGCTACATTCAATACCGTAGTATCCATGATACAAGAACTTTTCTAGCTGTTCACTTGCAGTGAAATGATTGTTTGCTGGGATTTCATTAGGCTTATGATGATTTTAAAATTGGACTGGGGAAAAAGCAGAGTTTGTGTTTTGCAGGTTTTCCCCCACCCAAATGTGGACTGATTCTACTGTGTGGTTGTGTTTTCAAGCAGAACCAGACCTGAATCAGTCAGCAGCTCTTTTTTGTAGTTCAGGTAGATCTCTAGTTCATGTAGTGAAGTTGGCTTTTTTCAATCAAAGAGTTTTTGTAAACCAAGCCAAATGTCTGAAACTACAAGGCATTCCCCTTACTATAGCTTCTTCAAGGGGTTACAAGCCGAGACTTAGTTGGTGACTCTTTTCTTTTATTTCTGCTTCATCCTGGCAGTATGACATTTTAGTTGAGGCATTTCTTAGGGATTATTTTACTTTTTGTGTGTTTGAACCAGTTCGAGGACCTGGAGCGCTCAAGAAATCTCCAGAAGTGTACTTTCTCTTCTGTTTTACTGCTTATGAACATTTGTGTTAAGAGAGTGGTGCTCAGGCTCTGACCCACGCCTGTGGGTTTCCCCATGGATCTAGAAATTTGATGGTGGGGGAGCAGTGGCTTTAATTGCTGCTCCCCTAGTACCAAATAATGTGGTCCTGCCTGCTAGATTGGGCTGGTATGTAGAGTTGCTCTGTACCTGCATCCAGTGTGTGGGATCAGGATACATGTGGGTGCTCAGACTGGTATGTGGAGCCAGGCTGGTGCATGCGGTCACACCTTCGGACTGACCCTACATGGGATCTGGCCCATGGACCAATGCTGTACCACTCATCCAGCTCATGGTGCCGAAAGGCTCAGCACCGTTGTGTTAGAAAGATGGTGATTATTTTATCTGATAACAAGAAGATAGATCCAAAGCCCTCCATCATCAGTGTGAATATGTACTTCAGCTGGCTTTGGACCAAGACTATGATCAATGAACCTGTGCTCATACAACAAAGTGCACACTTTTGTGTGAGATTAACTGGAATTTACAGACCAAAGACAGAAAGCTCTGTGCTGTTCTGGGCTGAGCCAAAATTATTGTTCTTTCTCCATTACTCCCTTTGGTTTGTTTCCCTTCCTTGCTTTGTTTTTGCTTTCTCTGTTTGCCACTTTTCTTCCCATTTGTCTTCGCTTTCCTCCCTGTTGCTCTGATTATTTATTGAAACCTGGTAAAAATATGAAGTAAATGGCTGCGTAGTGATGTTAAGCAACATTATATATAATGTGAAAAATTGAATCTGTTTAAAAATAAACAGAGAAAACTGCCTAAACTAAAAAAATAACCCAAGCAAAGTAGGAAGAGCGTTTTATTTCCCATGACTTCTGTACATCCTAAGGATATATGCAATCTCCAAGTAGCATTCTGGTAACTATGGCATGTAAATGCTCAAAATGTTTCCGTGATTATGGGACAGATCTTCTGCCAGCCTTTGAGTTATTAATACTGGGAAGCTTGTTGTAGATGTGTCCAGGAATCTGATGTGTTATATATAGGATTGTATTCACTTAAATGTCTGTTTTAGAAACAGTCCAATATTTTCTTCTTTCAGTTTTCTTCAGAGATGTCCCCTTTTCTCTTTCTTCTGAGTTCATCCTCATTCCAAAAGACATTTTTTCCTCTTTATTGAAGTCCTACTATTCCTGAGATAGATTAGGCCTTCAGAATCATTATGCCTACCAGGTTTGGAGAGGTTAGGGTAACTGTGCCAGCACAAATCTCATTAAAACTAAGGGCTCCTTTACACTAACTAGAAGGTTGTAGAAATATCTTTTATTATGCCTGATATTTGCCTGCATTCTTTCTAATGCAGCTCTTTATAGGAAAATCCTTTAGAAATTAAGTCATTATGTCTCTACAAAAATTAATTAAAATGCGTACTAATGAGTTACATCCCTGCTGTGGAATTCTATAGATTAATTAACTTTTTGACAAAAGGACAATCATTCTGTAGAACTTTATGATAAGCAATTATAATGGTCAACTTTCCTGTGTTATGCAAGGCCTCAGCATCCTGCCCTTCAGTGGGGCTGCCTAGTGGAATCTCTGCTGCTGAATTTTGGAGAAAGAGGGCTCATAGTGGTCAAAGTATGGAGGACTGAGTTGTTGAGATGACAGTGCCATCTCCTTGCCCATCCCATCACCTTTCTTCCTTCTGAAATTTCCAGCAAAGCTGCCATTTGTAGTAGTGTATGCAGTTTGAACATCTGTGCAGTTTTCAACTCCGCATTTTAGAAAGGACATGGAGAAGTTAGAGAAGGTCCAGAGGTAGGCAACAAAGATGAAGGGTTTAGAAGGAAAGTCATATGAGGAGAGGCTGAAGGAGCTAGGCATGTTCAGCTTGTGGAAAAGATGCTTTGGAGGGGACATGCTAGCAGTCGTCAAATACTTGAAGGGCTGCCTTAAAGAAAAGGGAAAGCACCTTTCCCTGCAGAGAATCCCTGTAGGATCCCTGTAGGATGTGGACCAATGGCTTGAAGTTGCAGCAAAGTCATTTTAGTTTGGGTATCAGCAGAAACTTCTTTCCTGTTAAAACAGTGAAGCAGTGGAATAGACTGCCTAGGGAAGTTGTGGACTTTCCATCCCTGGCATGGTTCAAGAGGAGGCTGGACAGCCACTCATCAGGGATTATCTAGGCATAGCTATGCCCAGGTTCTGCTATGGGTATTTCCCATGTTTCTGGGCTTTGTTGGTTGTTGCATGGGGCTGAGGGGGAATTCACTCCACCACTATCCCACCCTTCTCTCTTGCTGCTACTGGTGTCAGGGTTTTTTAAGGCCTGCCTCAGACATTGGGTGTTAGCTGCAGCTAAGGCTGGGGATTTTTGACTGAGTTGTGCCAGTTCTTCTGTTGGGATGTAAACCTGGAGGTTCCTGGCTACAGGGTCTTGCCCCTCCACTCATGCAGACCAGTTGCCATATTTGGGGTCAGGAAAGAATCTTACCCCATGGTCAGATTGGTACGGACTGTGCGGTGTTTGGCCTTCCCCTGGAATCTCTTGAGCATATATTAAAAACCTTTGCAGAAGTGGGACATTGGCCGCCGTGTTCCCCCTGCTTTACTTGTGGTAGGTTAGGGTGATACGTCTTGTGTTGTGTCGGGGTCAGCTGTGTAGTTTTGCTAAGAGGTTAGATAATGCATATGTATAGGATGGTTTGGATAGGGATGATCCTGCATCGGCGGGGGGTTAGACTCTGGAGGTCCTTTCCAGCTCTATTTATCTATGATTTGCCCATAACTTCTTTTTTAAATAAACAATGTTTATAAAATACAGGCCATTCTTCTTTTAATGTAAAATGTAATTCTTTTTTATATACAGATAGCTGTAAGAGTTCCTCCTTTTAGAATAGATCAGGGGTTTTCAACCTTTTTTAAGGAGTGTATCCCTTCTTGGTACACTTCTAGCAGAGCGGGAGGGGGTGTGCGGCAGTGGCCAGATGCGAGGCGTGGGGGGGGTCTTGCATGCGGCGGCAGCGCAGGGTGGTGGATGGTGGTGGCTGACACCGTGTGTGGGTTCTAACTCCCTTGCGTCCAGGTGGCTGGGTGGCACCTGTGGGAGCTGCTGTCCTTGCCACCCTCCCCCGGCTCCTGGGAGGCAGTGGTGCGGGGTGGTGGGTGGCAGTGCTCCATCCCTGCCTGCCCACTTGTACCCCCTAACCCCTTTTCAAGTACAACTCCTGGAATAGATCACGGCCTTTTTACTTTCCTTCCTTTTAGAACTTCCTGCTTTGCGTTCATGCTTCTCACTGTAGTGTCATTATCACAAGATAACACTCTTACCAGATAATAGGCCTCCCTTTATTGTATGCAGTTACTCTGAAGATATGAAATTGGAGTAGGACTATGTAATTTCCTTGATGTCACATTAAGACATGACTGAACAATAAACTAGGTGTAGAGTCATTGCTATTATTTTGCTGGACTAGTTAAGCCTCCAGTAAAATCTTTTGAGAGGTTAAATTATTAAACATAAGCCTCATTAGTAATATATTTCAGTTGGGGAACTGATAATACAATCTTATTGTAAAACTGTTGGTTTGGAAACAGGTAAGTTGTTTGCAAACAGTTTTAGGATGCATTAACCAAATTCGATGAATGACTTGTTTCATTTTGTAGTCTAGACATTACCATTACTAGGAATAACAGTTATACATGACATCTTTGCACCTTACTGTGATGAGAGAGAAGATTAATGCTTCATGTTTCCTGTGTTAATTGGCATGAAAAACAATTTTTTATTGTACTGCTTAGATAAGGCAATAAACTGTGAAGTGCAAAACCATGTATAAATGATTTGCATAGAGTGTCTATATCCCAAGTATGTTCTGTGCTTCCCTGTCATACTTTTTATTTCATTTTATTTATTTTCTTTTCATTTGATGCATGGCCTGAGATTGCCGAGCTAATCATCACACAGGCTAGATTGTAAGACTGTTGCAAGCCTCTCCTGCAGAGTGATTGAGGCGATGTACTTTGCTGCTGTTCTCATGCTTTTTCTTTATCATGTTTCAGCTCATCCACCATATACCATGTGCTTTAGAGTGAAATTCTACCCACATGAACCCTTGAAGATCAAAGAAGAGCTCACCAGGTATTTTTTCTGTCTGTGCATTTAATATGCATCCTTAACAAATCAAGAAATCACATATTAGTTGCAGGATAGGTCTCCTTCTGTTCATGGCTAAATTGAATATCACCTATGCTACCCTAAGCATTTGCACTGTGACTAGTGTTAACATGTTGTTACCAATGGGATTTTAAAGCACTTTAAGGCATTTAAGTAATGCACATGAATGAGCAGTGATAGAATAGGGGCACTCCCAGAAAGTGAGGTAGCGATTAGAATAATAGGCTAGGATTTATTCATGGCTCTACTGCTGACTAGCACTGGCCTCTGCGTAAGTTCAGTGTGTGTTACAGAGCTCATCCCTAAAATAAGGAAGATAATGCCTGCAGTTCTTAAATGCAGTTCACTGCAGTTATTAAATGTAATTGAGTTGTAGTTTTGATACTGCATATATGAACATGAGTAGTCTCATTGAATTTACTTATATGCGTACGTGTTTGCAGAGCATTTGCAAAGTACTTTCTGGTCTTCTCATAAGGTGCTATAGTGATAGCACACTTCTGTTTATTAGGGCATGGCTGGTGCAGAGTCAAGAAGTCTATTGCTGTCTATTGCTTGTTTTTTTTCTAATAAATTCTTTGAAAATGCCCCGGGTAGCAGGACAGTCATGTCCAGGGGCTGGGGGTTCTATATCTTTTGGTATTCCTTTTTCTCTGAATGGGTATATTCTGTTGCTCTGGTCATTTTCAAAGAATTTAATGGGAAAAAATCAGAATAATTATTTGGCTCTTGACATCTCCAGCTGGGAGCTGCAGGAGTGCCTGTATAACTCATAACTGGAAGCACAGTCAGCAAAGAAATAATAAGGAACTGGTGCAGAAGGGCACAGATCACTTTACTGACTTTGTCTGCAGTGCTATAAACTCTTAAATCCATAAGCAACTTGATGAGTAGGAGAAGACTCATTACTACTGCATTTTATACTGAACGATGTAACACATTGCACACTACTAAATGCTAAATTTATCCACATATGTATCTGTTTATACAGCAAATCAAGAATGGTGTTCTTACCATAGTTGTTTGTTTGAGAATGGTTTGGCTCACTGAATAAGGCACAAGCCTGGGAGACGAAGAATCTGGTATAATTATTAGTATCTGTCCTAGGATGAACCTTCTACTGTGAGCCTTTTTATAAACTATATATAACTTTTGCCTGCCCAATAAATAATCTTTTTTCAAAGCACTTTGTTTCCCAAGTGTGGAAGGTTTTATACAAAGCACTGTATTGAATGTTATCTGGGATTAATTTTAATTGAATAGTTATTCATTTTCAGATACATTTATTGTGTTGAAAGTATGAAGTAGTTAGTGTATGTAGAATTTGAAAACCTTGCAGAGATTTTGAGTAACTTAAATCCACTTGTTTGAATCTTTAGGTTTCACTGTTAGAAGTGACACCATTATTATAAACTGGAAGACACTAAATGGAAAAACAAGAATTTTGGTTACCTTGGGCTTTGACAGAATATTGTAGTAATAATCATTTTCTGTTTCCCTGTTATAGTCATGTATAGGCAGTTATGTCTGTTCTTTATGTAGGTCTGTTACACAAAAACAGGGATCAGAATATTTCAGGAACAGGAAGATATTATTGTAAAACCACAGAAATGGTCCCAGAGAGTTTGCTTCAGTGCCAAAAATGGTTTATGGGAGTACATATTGTAGCTAAATAACCTTTATATCTGAAATAAATAAAGTGAACTTATTTTCTTGAATCAAATTAGCCATCAATTAAAAACCAAAGGTCTTAGTATTTAGCAGTGTGCAAGCACTTGTTACACCTTGACACCTGATTGCAGTGTTTATTGGGTTTGTCTAACTTGCTTCATTAGACCGTTATATGTGTTATGATGGGTGCTTTACAATTTTATTGGAGTATATGTGTCCTTTTGGAAACTAGTGCAGCCAGCTGAGTAATAATAATAGTACTCTGAATATGTTATGAACCCCTCTCTGCAAATGTCATAGCACTTCATCACCATTGTTCTCTCAAATATCCAAAGAGGTAGATATACAATAGACATTTTTAACCTCAGCTTTTAGATAAGGAAACTGTGATACAGTGAGGTGAACTGGTTACCAAAAGTCACACATCACCTTAATGCAAGAATCAAGGAAAAAGGTCATATCATCTCTGTCTCCTGTTCTAATTGTTGGGCCCCAACATAAATTTGCTCACATACAGAGATTATGGGTGTATGAGAGAGACAAAATAGGAAAAGCCATGTAGCAACGGTTGTAGTTCTCTCTTGAGTTTTGATCTTTGACGGGTACCTGGCTATGTACTCCCTATACTGATTACAGTGGCATGCAATGTATCATGCCATCTCTAGTGTAGTCTGGTATACAGAGCTAATGTGATGAACACTGAGGTAAAATAATACTTAATGAAATACCCCATGACTATCTGAGAGATGGATCAATAAGAGGAGCAGAGAAAATTTTCATAGTTTCTAGGGTCAGAAGGGACCTGAACAGATCATCAAGTCTGACCCCCTGCCCTGGGCAGGAATAAGTGCTGGGATCATAATACCCCAGCTAGATATCTATCCAACCTCTTCTTGAAGACCTGTAAGGTAGGGGAGAGCACCACCTCCCTTGGGAGCCCGTTCCAGAGCCTGGCAGCCCTAACCATAAAGTAATGCCTCCTGATATCAAGCCTGAACCTGCTCTTGATCAATTTGTGGCCATTATAACTTGTTATCCCAGGTGGTGCCTGGGGGAACAGAGCCTCACCTATTTTCTGCTGGTCCCACCTGGTGAGTTTATAGATGGCCACCAGATCCCCGCTGTCTTCTCTTGTGGAGGCTGAATAGATTCAGGCCCTTTAGTCTATCTTTGTAGGGCCTGGCCTGCTGCCCCCTGACTATGTGAGTGGCCCTCCTCTGGACCCTCTTGAAGTGTGGGGCCCAGAACTGGATGCAGTACTCCAACTGCGGCCTGACCAGCGCCACATAGAGGGGAAGGATCACCACCCTGGATCTGCTTGTGATGTGTCTGTAGATGCATGACAAGGTGCGGTTAGCCTTACTGATCACTTCCTCGCATTGGCGGCTTATGTCCATCGTGGAGTCAGCAATGACTCCAAGATCCCTTTCAGCCACTGTGTTGTTGAGAAGGGTGTTCCCCAGCTTATAGGTATGTTGCAGGTTCCTTCTCCCTAGATGCAGCACCTTGCACTTGTCTGCGTTGAATTCCATCCTATTCTCATCTGCCCATCTCTGTAACCTGTCTAGATCTAGCTGGATTCTGTCCCTCCCCTCTAGTGTACCCACTTCTCCCCACATCTTTGTGTCATCAGCGAATTTGGACAGCATGCTTTCCGTGCCCACCTCCAAGTTTCTGATAAAGATGTTGAATAGCACAGTCCCAAGGACCGAGCCCTGGGGAAGTCCACTGCCCACATCCCTTCAGGTCGAAAACAACCCGTCCATCACCACTCTCTGGGTATGACCACCGAGCCAGTTTGCTACCCATCTGACTGTGTAGGCATGAATTCTGCAGTCGCATTTTCAGTAGGAGGAGGTCTTACATTCCTTTCTTTTAAATGGTGATATCTTAAAGTTATCAGATTGCTGTGACTTTTTGCTTATTAAAATGAACAGGAGAAATGAGAACAGGGTTGCAGAATGTAAGTAGAAGTTAAAAGGCATGATGGGTGCTAGTAACAGTGAACATAATGGGTCACTTGGGTGCATAAGTGGTGGCAGTGCATTTTTTAAATAAAAAAAAAAATCTCTCTGAGTTCAACTTGTGAAATTATAGGGCATCTTTAGACATGCTTCAGGGAGAAGGGCACTTTAAGTAGAGCAGCTCTTGGGAGTGTTTCATGTATTCACCATCCTGTGCTTCAAAATGATGGTGGGGGTGCTTTAAATAAGCTCATTTGATAAGCTTTAGTTGTAGTGTCCCCACTGCCATTTTGAAGTATGGAGCCACTGAATACATGAGACACTGAGGCTGCTGGAGCTTTGATTAACGAGTCTGCTCCAATGTGCTGTAATTACAGTGCATCAGAGCAGGCATCCTGAATATCTACAGACACCCAAAATGGTAATTGTATAGATCAACTGTGCTATGTACTGTAACCCAACATGGTAGGAAGAAGTATCTCTCTGATTAATTAAAAAATTAAAAAAAATATCCCTATTAGGTGTTGAGTGATATTTTTGAAAAAACAATGGAGGAATGTAAGGAGGGCCCCTCCTGGCTTTTGCTGTTAGTCTATTTTGCATTAAATAGTTATTGGATAAACATTGGGAATGAAGCCCAGAACAACAGGACTGCCTTCTACCCAGGTCAGTGCTTTTCTCACTGGGGTCCAGAGTCAGGTTGTCTCTGGTTTGCTGTCCTTCTGGTTCCATAAATCTTACCCTCTTAGCTGCTTAATGGCCCAGTTTCAAGAGGAGGTGGACAAACCTGGTGGTTAGGGCACTTACCCAGGAAATGGGAGACCTAGGTTGCAAGCCTGTCCCTTCCTGAAGGGGTTTGAATCCACAATTTCCAGTTCCCATAAACTGTTTTGGGACCCCAAGCTATTGGGCAAAAAATGGGTGGGCCCCCTGCCTTCCTTCTTGCCACCATTGCATATGTCTTCCCTGTGGGAAAGCTGGATCCTGAGTCCAGGTCTTCCCTCACTTCCCCTCTGGGCAAGCTGGATCAAAGATAATGGCAGCACTTAAGGGGCAGCCTGAGTTAGGCAGACTCAGCTATACCTAGTGTTTCTTATTGACTACAAGAAGATGCATAACATGTTCATGGACAGAGGGTTGCCCAGTGAGAAAGCTGGAGACTTGGATATCTTAGGGCAGTGGTCATCAACCAGTCAATCAGGATTGACCAGTTGCTCCTGGGTTGGGGGGGCTGATGTGCATCTGGCCGCTCCCAGGCCAGTTGCGACGGGGCTTGGTGTGTAAAGCCCAGCCCACAGATGGAGCCACCTCCACCACAGATTGGAGGGG